ATAATTTAACCTTAATCTGTTTATCAGTCTAGTCACGAAGGATGTGAAACACTGATAAACAGATTAAGGTAAATTCTAAGTTCTAGTCAATTAAGGTAAATTCTAAGTTGTTTCACATAATTCGTGACTAGACTGATAAACAGATTAAAGTAAATTATAAGTTGTTTCACATCCTTCGTGACTAGACTGATAAACAGATTAAGGTAAATTCTCCAATCAGAGCAATGGTGACCCCACGAACACCTAGCTTTAGCGAAACGTCGGCTTGAACTTTACCTGGTTTGTAGGGTTTGAATGTGATGTTGGTATTAATGGTTCCTACTTCCCACTCATGCCCGTATAATGACACTGTCAGAAAGAAAATGTAATTATTAAGACTATAATCAAAATAAGAAATAAAAAAAACAGGTTAAATCATCTTCAAATCACATACGGTAAGTCTGGGGCCCAGGAACCGCTGAGGAGACGCGATATATTTTCAAAATGATCGAAACACGTCTTTCAAGTTACCTTGTCAGCTGAAGAGTACTGATCTTAACACTATATCCCAATATTACTTCTTAAGTTACCATGGCACCTGAACGGTGGTTGCTCTGACAATATACGTCATTAGACACCTGAACAATGCTAAAACTGTATGTTATTACAATTCTGTGAAATGCTGTTACAACAGTAAAAGGGAATTACAGTAAGAACAAAACAGACAACAATAACTTAACCAAAAGTAACTATCTTCCTCTATCTGTAGGATGTTATAAGGTCATAAAGATCTTTAGCCATGAAAGTTTTAGGGGTCCTCCATTAGGGTGTTATAATGACATGGAGGCCTTCAGTGTTATAATATCATTGGGTCAAGAAAGTTTTAGTACCTTTGTCTTATGATACGTTTCGATGCTAATAATAAACATTAATCACACTAAGACTCACCCTAGATGTAAACTAATCTACACTTCTGTATCAAACGTCAAACGGCATCAAGTTAATAACAGTACACTGTGAACTCTTTAAGTTGAATAAACCTTGTGTTGTTATTCAAAGCTTAACTTGGAGGATACTTATGGATATAGTTGATTTAGCTACCATTAAAACCTAAAAATAATGTTCATTTGTATGTGCCCAACTAGTTTTGTTTTTATGGCTGCATCAGATAAAATACACTGTATTGGTCCAGCGTTTGAAGAGAAACAATACACAAGATATAACAATCAAATCTCATGGTGGCAACAATATTACAACTATGTCGTTAATAGTAGACTAAGATTAATTACTGGGAAGGATTGTGTTTCGTCGTGGTAGTGATCCGGATTCGGTCCTGGGTCTTCTTGATAGGAATCTTGAAATGCTATCAACTTGTTCAGGGTCTCCGGAAAATTAGTAGTTAGTTAGTAATTAGTATCTAGCAATTAATCAATAATTATACATGACAACGACTGATATCTTATTTCCACAATCTTGTCATAATTACTTAACATTAAAAAGACATTTTACGTATTCCTTTTAAGCTTAACAAATATTTTAATACAGTGAGTCGACGACGCGAGAATAAAATCACAAAACATAAAGCTGCTGTACCTACGTAATATTGTTGTCCCGATGAACAGGCTCACGAAGAAGCGCATGCTCAGAAAAATCCGCTACAAAAACAAAATACGTAAACATAAAAAACTTGGTGAAAAGTACAAGAACTTGGGGAAAGTCTTAACACTCATTTTATTTCTTTATTTACTTTTTTTTCCCTATGGCTCAGCGATTATTATGAGAGCTTATAACGCTGAAAATCGAGTTTTCATATCTTCAATGAACAGAGCACAAATAGCCAATTGTGTAGCTTTGCGATTAACAACAAACACTTTTAATATATTGGTACAGACTTATACTTTAAGAAACAGATATATTGACTATTTTTGTTGATCTTTTATCATTTAACAAAAGTGGATTTGCGGTAAGTCTGACAGGTTATAACACTAAAAATCTGTTTTCGATACCTGCTGTGGGTACAGCACAGATAACCTACTGTGTAGTTTTATGCTTAACAATAAACAAAATAAATCAAATAAAGATCAGGATAAATGTTAGCAGGTTTATGCAGCATTGTTTCTTAAAGAACAGACTAAACAAAACATCACTCCAGATAAATTATTTTATTTATTACCTATTACTTTCCAATATTCCGCCTGTCGGCAATCGTCAGAGACACAATCGACACATACTGGCCATGAAAAATCCGCCGGGAAGAATATTGAGAGTAATAAATTAGCAAATTATTTGGGTATTCAAATTATGCAATAACATCTATCAGAAGAGCAGCTAAAATTCTACAAAAATAATAAACTTGCAAAACGTGGGTAAAATTAGTATCTTTAGTGCAACAGGATTTCTAGAATAATACAAAAGACTTCTAACCATCGACACCGAAATCTAGCATAAGTCCACTTGCCTTAGGCCTAACAATAACATTAGTTCAGCCTATATTCGATAAAAGACATAAATTAACACTGTAACTTGTGTAAGTTTTCTGCTTTGGTTTAGTTAGGGTTAAACTTTACCGTACTTAATACTATCAGTAAATAAACTTATAATGTTATTCAACAACCTTAACAGTAGACCTTTTTAAAAACTCAGATAATCTTTTAATATGTTATTATACTAAATATCTACTAAAGTATATTTACATCCTCCTTTTTGTTGACATCCGTTGAAATTAAGTGCGCGCACATTTTCAGGACAGACAAAACTGAGTAGTATTGTAATGGATAGTCTGTAAGGTTGTTTTGTGTGTTACTTAAGAAATAAACCCACAACTCTAGTCAGCTCTACAATATTTGAAAAACGTATGAATCTTTTTTCTTCTAACCCTCAATCTATTTGTTTCGTTGATTTTTACGCAAAGCTACTCGAGTGTTATTTGTGCTAGCCGTCTCTAATTTAGAAGTGATAGACTAGAGGAAGGTAGCTAATCATCCACAGCCCACTCTTGTGGTCCTTTAATAAAAAATAATGGAATTGGCTGTTACATTGTCCCGATAACTGGAAGGGCGTATACGTTCGGTGATAGGATTCGAACCCGCAGATTACGAGTCAATGCTCTAACTACCAGCCCCCCCCCCCCCTGCATTTGTGTGGAAAACATTGAAAAATACTTGGTGAAAGTTGGTATCATATCAAATTGGTTATTATAATTGTATCTTGTACTGTGCCACCGAATGTTTTGAAATTATGGTCAAAAGTGTAATATACTAAAAGAAATTATGCCCACGAAGAATTGAAATACACGCCATGCGTATTGTATTTGAAATACGATCATTATTACACAGTACAACATCATGAACTCCTTATGAACTTATAATAATAACGATGAAAACAAAATAGTTCATAAATGTAAGGCGGTTTCAGCGCCATCTGTGGCAATTCCTGGATAAATATAACTACATATTTATGAAATTAAATAAACATAGTTTTAATATGCATCTCTTAAATTTGTAATAGTGGAGAGTTGGTTGACTTTTACTTCAATCTTTCTTATAATTAGAATCCACTAGAGAAAAAGTATAAACGAAGAAAAGTGTTTCGTATAATAAAACCTTTAGAGTTTAAATATAATATGTTATAAAAGCAACGCTTTATACAATAACTATATATATCCTTAGAATAAGTTATAAAAACAATGTTTCCTACAATGAAATCTCTACATGTCCTTAGAGTAAGTTATAAAAGCAACGCTTCCCACACTAGGATGTGAATTAACAGATAAACCATGATATTATGAACAGCAAAAACTTCTGAAACTCCGAATATCTTATGAAAACTCGGAGTATCCTTTTAAGATAACATGTCACAATCTATTGGTGGATTATTGCATTGTTTTGTTATAAATAACTAGAAGTACAGCGTAGATAAGAAATAAATAATATAATTATTATATTATTTATATATAATTTACCAAAAAATCCGTTGGTTTGGTTGATAAAAAACAAATTCTGACAGCTAAAATACTAATTATTTTTAAAATGATAATATAAAAATCACCACAGTACTCCAGAGGGGGTTTATTCATTCGAACCAACGTTTCACTTATCATAACCACTAGCTTTGTAAATGTTGTAACAGTGAAATGTTGGATTAATTAAAGGAATTATTTTTAGGGTCCTGTGGTAGGTATATATACTTTTACATTAAATATAATTATAAAAATGCCTTTAATACCTCCTTAGCAAGATGTAACGAAATATATTTAAGGTCTTACCGATCTGTCACGAAATCCAGGCAATACGATAATATACGAAACACACAATATAGCAGAAACCATGATTATTAAAACAGTACTTAAATCCAAAAAATCAAGCGATTGTCCATCTGTAAATATAGTTGTGTGCCCCAGAAACCTAGACATTATAAAATATATCGCTATACAAAAAGACCTGGAGTTAATGAATCGCGCAGATTCGCAAGATTTCTCTCGTTTCAATTCTGTTAAATAGTAAACATGATGGAGCTCAGTCTGAGAGTTTCATGCTAAGAACACAGTTGTTAATAACATAAACAAGTTATAACGTAACACTTCTTGACATGTGGATCCTCGGGAATTCAATCGAACTCGGTCTTGTTTCATGATTCTTCACAATACGCCTATGTAGTATCCACCAACTCTGGCTCTTCCGTTGTCTTGATTAATACTGAATAAAATAAAAGTAAATTGAATTAATTTTTCGCTTTGTTACCCAGAGGACATGTCTAAGTTTAAAGTGTGAACTGGATGAATAGTTCACGAAATCCACCAAAAACTAAGCGCTCTAATAAGCCTCCTAAATAACAGAAATATAGAGAAAACTAGCACGTAAATATAACATAACGACTAAATTTATTTTCACTTCTAATATAAATAAGGAGCGTAACTATGACGAGTAACGTGAAGAACATGTTCGTATTGCCACGTAAATATTTAGCTGAGAATAGCCTGAACAATAGGTTCATATAGTCATATAGATAATTTACCTCTCCGTGTATTATTGTTTTAAACAATAAGTATATAACCTGATTAGGTAGTTTCGTATTATCACATAAACAGGTTAACTGGGGTTAATTAAAGTAACAAAGATTACAGATTTTAATTGATAATTCTAAAATTTGGCTATAGTAATAATCCGCTACTTACCAGTTAAATACAATAATTTTCTTTAATGTATCATGCACGTAAGTAAGTATTATAAGAAGGAAGTTTTCTGCACAGGATTTCCTTTTCGACTTCCTTTTGAATCATGGAGGAGGCGGTTTCGCTCCTGACAGAAAATATTTAGTACCGTTTGCTTGCTACACTTTGTTTGTTATTAAGCATAAAGCTACACAATGGGTTATCTGTGCTCTCGAGTTTCAAAACCAAATTTTTAATGCTATAAGCCCTGAGATACAGGGAGTGAATAACTATATATTACTGCAGTTTATTTGTACATTACATCCACTATTTTGCGAGATGAAGTCACCAGTATTATACGGGAAAAAAAATCGTCTGGAGTAACATAATGTAATAAATTCACAGCTCTAGTCTACACTACAATTTATGAAAAATGAAAGAAATTTCAACTTTTCATTTGCTATTTAATTAATATTTACTTCCAATTAGAGCAAGCTACCTACTTAGAGTGAAACTTAAAATGAATCTGGTTTTGAGTATAGCTAATCATGTATGTTTTTCTTACGTATACAGATTAAAATACATTCTTTCACCAATTACGTTCTCTCGCTTTTAACAATATTTTCGGTTGAAAACCAAATAATATCTTACGAGGTTTAGCCAGCTTAAGATTTTTCGTTTAATTAGTCCTAAGGTCATATATTAAGCTAATAATGAAAGAAAAATATCTTTACTAAAAGTGTAATAATAGAATTTTAAAAATAGTGAAACAAGTTAGCCAATAATGTTAATGAAAGTAACATTAAAGAAATAACAGAATAAACGTTACTTATGCTCGTTGAACAATGTGACATCACTATAACCTCTTTAAAACGTCTTATGACCAATGAAAATCCATTAAATGACTCCAGCAATGTAGTTTCAGAAAAGTTTTTCATCTGAGATACATTACTGTACAAGGGTTGCTGCTTAGGTTTGGAATCAAATATCAGGACAATAATAAGAGCTCAGCTAAAAACTAATGTTTATGGAGATAAAAAATAAGAAATTTAACATATACCTGAATAGTACAATAAATCGCTAGAACAATGTTACTATTGTTACGACAGCGGAAGTCACGTGACGCTAGTAACACGTCATGATATTCTCGAAGGTTCGTGAATGCTCGAGTGTTTACT